CTACTGCTACTGCTACTACTACTATTGCCACTATTACTGCTACTGTTGAATCTACTTCTACTCCTACTGTCACTACCACCACCATTGCCACTGCCGCTACCACTACCACTACCACTGCGACTACTACTGCTGCTACGACGACGACGACTATCATTACTTTGATCAGCGGTGTTTTTGCTAAGGGGTTATGGTGTTTAAAGGCTTTGTTAAGCACTTATGAAGTCTTTGTGAAGTATGTTGTAAGTATGTTGTAAGTCAGTAATAATCATGGATAAAGCAATATAAAGAGTTATGTGAGTTAACAAGATTGCATAATTATTTGTGGGAATTAGCTAACCTATGATAAAGGAAGTTTAAGTCGCTAAGTTGTTATATGAAGTTAACTGATTTGAGAGACCTTGGCATTGCCATTTTTGTAATGTTCCAAACATACATGAATCATACATTGGCAGGCATCATGCCTTTGGCTCGAAGCCATGATGGCTTTGGTCGCAGTAGGAAAACCTTTGCAGATAATGCATGCATGTGAAGCAGATTTTTGTGGTAAGAGCATTTGTGATTTGGACGTCAAAGAAAGTCGGGATATCAGGTTGCATGCATTGAAGATGTTTGCATGGAAGCTGTTGCTTCGAAAGCCTACAGCTGTTGTAGAAGCACGCTGCTGTCGGGACGTCGTGGAAGCCTGCATTCCTGCATGCATGTGATGTGATGTTGAAGAGTGGTTTGACTGGCAGCATCGCGGAGGAATGATGCTTGATATGTTTTTGACAGCCCATTAACTGGCTTCATGAGCTTCCGCAAGCCTGCTTTTATAAGCCCTCAAGCAGAAAGTTGCTTTGGTAAAGAGTCCATGCATGTTATCTTGGTATCGCCCAGCCGAACGGCTTTTGGTCAGCTGCCTCTGAAGTGCTTTGCTTCTGTGATGAATGTTTATCTGTAGCTTTGGCCTGGTTCGAGGAACTGCTCTTTCTTTCTTTCTTTCTTTGTCTTGGAAGACCATGGCCGGCGTCTGTCCGCCTGCAGTCGTGTCAATGGTGAACTCCTTGCTTCAAAGCGACTTGCCCATGCTGGAGAAGATGCAGCAGCTGACGAAGACTCTGAAGGCGAACAATCTTGCATGGACGCAAGACATAGCTCCTTCTGCCTGTTTGGTGCATCCATCGAACCGTGCGGGACAGATGTTGTCTGTGGAAGATGTTTGGAGCAAAGGAGTTCGCATAGTTTCGCTGGGGGCGCAGAAAAACCTCCTCCAAGGCTCGGTATGCATTGAGGTTTCTCATGACGTTGCCCGGAAAACTGAGCAATTGGATGCCAATCGCCGCCTCGTAGCCTTGTCACACGGCCAGTTAGCGCCGGTCAGAGGAGACGAAAGATTTCTCACACTAGGGACCAGCCACACGACGGCGTTTTTTAAAGCAGTCGAAGCGGGCTGCCAGAGTGGTGATGCGAGTGTGCACATCAAGCAACTGGAGGACGTCCTTTCCGGATGGCCTTGGTTAGTGCTTTCCTCGTTGGTGGAGCAGGCCTGCCCAGGAGTGCCTCTGTTCTATCAGCTGGCGAGCAATGCATCAGCTTCCGGTCAGAAGCAGATCAGCGAAGTGGAAGCCTGCGGCCTCATGGCGATGCGAGTAAAGTCCGGAGCAAGCTTGGAAAGCGCTGTTGCCGAGCTGAAGCAAGCTGATCCTGCTTGTCGTGGCAGCTTGGATGCCATCTGCCATTACGTGTCCCGATATGGAGGAGGGAAAAGCATGGAGCTCATGATGTTCCTTGTGGATTTCAGCCATTCGGCTTTTATGTGTATGCTGTTATGCATTTCATGGAATTCTTTGCGACTGCTTTGTTTTTAAAGCATGTGCACGAGGCAAATCTTTCGGGACTCTCATGATCGGGACAGAGGTTATGAAGACGCTCGCTTACTGCGACTTCAAGAACCCCAGCACAGTGTATGCTTTCGCACGTCTGGCCCTGCTGCTGTAAAAGCATGTTAGCAAGATTTGCTTTGGCTTCTATGTAACCCAAGCTTGGATTTGTTCATCCTTGCTTTCGGTTTCAAGGATGCAAAGTTCAAGTTTAGGTTTTAAGCTTCGCTCATAAATGCTTCATGCTTGGATTTTTGCATTTTCTGTTTAGGAGACACAGGAATGTAATTCAAGGTTGGATTTTTGTATCCTTGCTTTGGGTTGAATGATTGAAAGTTCGAGGTTTGGTATTTAAGCTTCGTTCTTAAATGATTGAGGGTTGGATTTTTGTATCTTCTGTTTAGGATGCACTGAAGGTTTGCCACGATGCTTTCCTCACACAAGCAGACTGATGGTTTTCAGAAAATCGTCAGTGTGTCGGACATCCAGAGGTTGAAGACGGCAGCAATGCGGGAAACGCTGGACAGCTTCGAAATCCTGGTGAAGGATTCTTGGGAGTTGTGCAGCAGTGCCCAAGTGACGGGGGCATCCTTGGAGCGAGTGTTCGGCAAGCTGTGTGTCCGAGCGACTTTGTTTGTCTTGGGCAAAGACGGTAAGGACAAGGGAGGCATGGACAAGCACTTCGCTGATCTGCCAGAGATCGCATGTGCTTTTGCCAGCGAACTGAAGAAAGGCAAGACGGAGACATCCGTTTCCAAGGGGTCGCAGGCAGCATCATCCACAGGAAGCTCGTCGGTCACCAACGTTTTGGAGTGCAAGCCCGAAGAGGTGGCTCTCATGCAGAATTCCCACATGCAGCTGGGGGGCATGCTGCTTGGATGCAAGCCTCTAGAGATATATAGGCTTTACACATATAGGGAATATGTTTTTGGTTGCAAGCTCATTAGGTACACGAATGTCAAAGAGCACGGCAACAAGATCTTTGTCTTCTTGAAGACGGACGAGAACGGAGTGTGGATGGAACACGATCCCCTCTTGGCGCCAAAGGAGAAGGTTTTCGTTCACTTCGGGCTCTTGGTCAAGTGGCGGAAGTTCAAGGGACAGCCTCCAGCTTTGTGCCCCCCGGCCATGCAGGAGTTGAAGATGGTGCATGACAGCAGTGGTGTTTTGGATGAGTACAACAAAGCCCAGATGCAGCAGCTTCTGCTTGACAGTGCTTGGATGAAGAAGGTTGAAGCCCACGATCTGGCTTTCACTTCCTTCCCTGCCATGGTGCATGTTATGAAGGCCTTCAAGAAGGTTGGCGACTTGGAGCTTTGGCCATGGGGTACCGTGAGCAAAGTTCGTGCAGGCAAGCCTGTCCCAAAGCGGCTGCTTGCAAAGGGCTATGGGTGCGATTGGCTGATCCAGCCTTTCAAATCCTTGAACCAGGCGGACTTTACGAAAATGCCGTCAGAGGAAGGCGAGGGAGTCCTCTGCCCTTTCTTCTGGGTCCGAGAGACCAAGGATGCCGAAGCCGCCAACATGATGCTTCACGTCTTCAAGAAGAATGGCAATGCATTCCCTACTCTGAGGAACAAGCGCCCCATCGAGATGTACGAAACTTTGCTCTACTGCGAAGAAGAGCAGCAGGAGGAAGCAAAGCCGAAGAAGAAGGCCAAGAAGGAGTGAGCAAGAAAGTTTTGCTTAGATGCGTTATCTATAGGATGCCAGCGAGGCATGTTTGGATTATCTTCTGAGGCTTGCCCTGTCAGCGCTTTTGTTTTCCGGAACCAAGCGGGTGTTTGCCAGTTTTGCTTTGCATGTCTGCTTTGGAAGCATGCATGCATAGGCATCACCTTCTGCACTGCTGCAAGCAGCCGTGGCTTGAAAAATGATTGCTTGCATCATGCATACCTGCAGAACCGAATGCCTGCATTATCTGCATATAGGGAATGCTGTGGGTCTGTCATCCTTGCTTGCATGGCCAGCGGTGTTGCTCCGCAGTCTTTTCAAGTTATATACCTCGCCGCCCCTTCATCGATCCGCTTTCTTGCCATCATGGCCCGCAGCAGAACGCCACCCCGGAGATCTCAGCAAGGGGAGGCCAGCTTCAGAAATCCCGCCAGTTCCTCGGTGCAAGAGACCGAAAACAATGAGCCAAGACAGCGAAGCCGGTCCCCGCCACAAAGAGTGGAGTGGCGATGGTGCTGGGTGAACAGCCACGGGTGCTGGTGGTGGAAGTGGTTTATCCATCGCGGCTGAGAAGCTTGCAAGAGTTGCAAGCATGCATTTTTTTCTTGGAACATAATCCAAGAACGCATTAAGAGCACAATTGGCACCCTGTATAGACACAGCCGTCCATGCATGATGCAGAAAAGTGGTGCTTTGAATTGTCGGCGATGTCGCCTCCTGCAAGAAGTTCAATTGTTTTTGCCAGCTGTATATGCTTTCGTACACTGTTAATGTTCAGCTTGCAACTGTTCCCTGTATAGATCCTGCAAGACAGCAGGATATATAGCAATACTTGTGGAACTTATCAAGAGACCAGGGGCTTTGTAGCTTTTTTTTGCCAGCATTATGCTTTTCGCAACTGCCTGTGTATGCATACTTTGCAAGTATTTGCTGTCTAGCCTCTGCAGGAAAGCGATAAGTAAATACTTCTGCAGCTTATTCCGAGTGCAAGAGCAGACTTTGCAATACTTCAGCTGTCTATCCGGCCCGAAGGATATAGATTCTGGAAGCCCCTGGCTTGCGGCATGGCTGTTCGGGTCGAAAAGAAGACTTGCATCAGCTTCAAAAGCGACCGCTTCTCGTTGCTGCCGGACAGCTTGCTTGAGAAGCACGGAGATGAGGACTTCCTGCGGCTGCGGCCTACGAACCAGGTGCTCCTCACGGTGCTGTACGGCGAGGCTCCACCGAAGAATGCCTCAATCTCCTCAAGCTCAGCTCTGAAGAAGCTTCTGGAGCTCCGCAAGGAAGCTTTGGATGCCAGAGACCAAGGGGAGGGTGCAGGCGAGCATGCCCCTCCGGAGTCCTTGTTTGAAAATAATGAGGACAAGCCACCGAAAAAGCGCAGAGTTATCAAAAAACCCTTGGACGAGGACGGCGAAGTCTTGACGATCACGGTGGACGAGGTGAGCATCAGGACTTTGGTGAAGGGAAGCAGGCCCTCAAGAAGTGACTTCATCGTGAGCATGGAAGCCGGGATGCTGCAGAAGGTTTTCACCATGCTGAGTGATGATTTGGATGAATGCTTCCACACAGCGAAGCGAAAGTACGTCCGTAAAAGCAAGGCTAAAGCCCGGCCAAACCGTCATTCTTCAGAGGAGGCCGTGGAAGACCGCTCTCCCTCGGATTGAAGTCTGCAGCATCCATTGCATTGCTTGACGTCACCTGAAAAAAAATGCTTCTTGCACGTGCTTCCTGCTTCGTGGGTTTCAGCCATGCCTGGCTTTTCTTTTGCTTTGGCAAGCTTTGATGCATGCATGCTTTTGTTGCATTTCTGGCTGAAGCAGTCTGCTGTGCTTCTAGGAAAAGGGTTTCACGAAATAGCAAAATGGAGCGAGTGCCAGGGCGAGTTGCCAGGGCCCCTCAGCCTGTGCACAGGCTATACCTGTTGCTACTCTATGAAAACATGGATGATCGCAGCTGGCGAGCTGATGTTCTGAGCCTTACACTTTGGGGTGTACTGGCACCCACTCGTTCTGGCTCCTACATCTTGCTCTTTCTGCAGCCGGAGGAACGTCGACCATTGATGACTGTGCATCGAGAGACACTTCGTGTATTTGAAGGAATCAGCGAGGAGGTGTCTTCTCGACGGAGGGAGCTGCAACGTCGTTTCGCGGCGCAATGATGTTGAAAACCGACCCAGCTGCAGCTTCTTGGACCCGGCTGGCAAGAAAAGACCTGCATGCATGGTTGCCTCTGCACCTATCTGTTTCAGCCAAGCCTGGCTTTTCTTTTGCTTTGCAAACCAAGCTCCAACAATTGTAGTTGAACAGGTTCTGGCAAAAGTTGCCTTAGGGCACGAGTCCGTTCTAACATTCTCTCCAACATAGTAAGGTCGTGCTTGTACTATATATGTGCATTGCAGTTTCTGGCGATAGCAGTCTGTTCCACGCATGTCTGCAACGATGTCTGCTGCTCGTAACATGTTCGAAAGCTATATAGTCTTTCGCAGGCAGCCATAGATGCTTTTTTGAAGATAGAAGCCGAGGACGATTGTGGCTTTTGTTGTTGCAAGCACGAAAAACCTGACTTGCGGTCTTGCCAGCCCATGTGGCTTTTTCATCCTTGTGCTGCCCAAGGAATATATATATATAGATATATATAGATATATATAGATATATATAGATATATATATATATATCGAATAAATATACATATGTACATCTTATATGTATATATATATATATTTATATTTATATCTCTATATATAAATATATATATATAGTATATATATACATATATACATTATATATGTATTATACTTAATCCTTATAGACTGTCCAATGACCGAGTTCGTTTGCAGCCGTTTAGCTTGGTCCTATAGCAATACCGGCCCGATCCGGATTCCCAGCACCATGCCCTGGTACTACGGGTGGATCTTCGTGAGCGAAGATGTTTGGACAGAGCCAGACCGCCGGTGGAGCTATTGGTCGGACGATGATTGGTCGGACGATGATTGGTCGGATTACTACGACTACAACACCTGGTGGGAGCATGAGCCGAAGGAGCAGCTTGTACAGCGGTCTCGGTCGAATCTCAAGCTGGTGAAGTGTCGAAGTCGCTATGTTTTTCGAAGAAAAGCATTGCGAAAAAACATGGTCCTAAAGCACTAATCCGTATACAGTTTAATTCGCATTGCAAACAACTATACTTCCTGCTGGCAACCATGCTCCAGTTGCACAGTACAGGACACAAAGCCAGGAAAGCAGAAGAAATCAAACCATTGCACGTGTTTCGTTTGAAGCCATTGTGGCTTTGCAGCCAGGATGTTTTGCATTGCTCGTTTCCAGCCATTGTGGCTTTGCAGTGAAGATGTTTTGCATTGTTGGTATCCAGCCATTGTGGCTTTAGAGTGAAGATGTTTTGCATTGTTGGTATCCAGCCATTGTGGCTTTGCAGTGAAGATGTTTTGCATTGGTGGTATCCAGCCATTGTGGCTTTAGATTGAAGATGTGTTGCATTGCACGTTTCCAGCCATTGTGGCTTTACAGTCAAGATGTGTTGCATTGCACGTTTCCAGCCATTGTGGCTTTGCATGTTGCTGCATGGAATAATTTTTGTGTTCCGCGCCGCGGTTCAAGGGAAGCTCTGCAGCCGTTTTGAGAGAAAACGTGGAGGATATGTTTGCATGCACCAATGCATCAATCGGTGTCATTTCCGATATGTGTTATACTACTATGTGTTCTTCAGCCTCCTGGCTTTTCTCTCCGTAGCTGCGGATGCAACCAGGAACATGAACAGAACCACAAAAACACAACACAGCAAACGTTTAGGTTCAGAGTACTGTAATAGTATTTCCGAATCTAGTTGTCAAACCTTTAGAAAACAACTAGAAAACAACACAACACATAGTCCCAACATGCTTCCAGTTATAAAAATGTACTATAAGCAACCTATTATCTGACTAGGACCAAAAAACTCTAGGTTCAGAAATCTGAATCTAAATACAACTAAAATAATATTAAATTCAGAATTCTGAATTTAAATGTAAACTAATGTATTTTAGTTTCAGAATTCTGAATCTAAAGCCGTTTACTTGGCTTCTAAGTTCAGATATCTGAATTTAAATTCCAAATTATGGAGTTTAGATTCAGATTTCTGAATCTAGATATATATCCACTAGGTATAGTGTTAAGCCTTTGTGCTTTGCAAATATGCATTCTGCATTGCAACAAATTAAAAACTAATTCAAAGAATTCTAGGATCTACAGCCATGGAAGCTCTCGATGCTTATGTTTCGGAGGAGGAGGTAGAAGTGGAGGTGCCCGTTGAGGCACCCGTGGCGGATCCAGATGGTGGTGGCGGCGATGACACCGAGCTCGAGGGGGACGAGCGTTCCAAAGCAGACAAGGACGCGGAGCGCGAGGCGATGGAGAAGGCATGCAACGATGCCATGGGCCAAAGGGCAATGCAGACGAAACCCAAACCGTCTCAGAAGGCTAGGCCAAAGGAGAAAGCCGAGTTGCCGTGGAAGCAACCGCCGGCGCGACCCCGTGTGCCTTCCCAGCCCAGCCACCCACCCCCCGCGAAGAAGCCAAGGGTGGTCATCCCTCCGGCGTGGCCGCAGCCCTGGCACGGGAAGTGCCCCTTGCAGGCCCCACCCCTCGCCCCACCCCCCGGCCCCCCCCCACCCCCACCCCCCGCGGAAGAGCAAGCTCCGGAAACCCCACCTCCTTCCCGCCGAAGCAGCCCGGCACAGCAGTGGGCGAATGTCACGTCGTCTGGAGGAGGCTGGATGAAAAAGATGGCGGCGTTGGTTTCCCACTACGAGCGCGGCGACTGGGACGGATGCGCCGAGAGGATCCGCCAGCCGCTCCTCTGCAGCTTTGTGTGTGTGCAAGCCATTGTGGCTTCATGAAGATATATTAATGCCAGCACACATATTGGTGCTTTTAGCATGCAAGCCATATTGGCTTTGTCACATGAGCATGCATTGCTTTTGTTCCAGTTTCTTGGCTACTATACTCAAGCTTTTGTTTCCAGTCATTGTAAGTTGTTAACAGCACCCTGTGCTATGTATCCACCCTGAACCCCTAGCCTGAATCCTAAATCCGTACAACCCTAAACCCTACATTAACATTAAACCTTGAAGCCCTACCAAACCTAAACCCCCAACCCTGCAACTTCCACTGCTCATGTGGACACCCCATACCCTAAACCCTAAACCCTTCTAAACCCTAAACCCTTATAAACCCTCAACCCTTATAAACCCTAAACCCTTAGAAACCCTCAACCCTTAGAAACCCTTAACCCTTAGAAACCCTTAACCCTTAACCCATTAACCCTAAACCCTGAACCCTCATCCCTAAACCCTAAAGCCAGGAACCTTATAAAGCGATAAAATCGCTTGCAACAAAGGTGGACCGAACAGCAAGGACGTGGCAGCCTTCGCGACCTCATCCAGCAGTATGAGGGCGTCCACGGCATTCGCCGCTGATGGACTGCAGATCCGTGCACGTCTTCCGTCTTCCAAGGAAAAGTTGTGACTGAGTGCATGCATGGGTTCGTGAGGTGCTCAATACAAACACCAGCAAGGCCCAGGGCCCCCGCACAGCACACACCCCAAACTGGAACACCCCGACTTTTAGGAAACAACAACCCCGAAGCCCCAAAGCCGTTCCCAAAGCCAATGTTGAAGCCAAGCCCAAAACTTGTTAAAGTAAAAGAAGCGGGCTTCAGTCTCTCTAGCAGGCCCCCTGCTTTTTCGAGTGCAAGCCTTTGTGGCTTTTGTTGAAGCCAAGCCCGAAATTTGTTAATGTAAAAGCAGGCCCCCTGCTTTTTGGAGTGCAAGCCTTTGTGGCTTTTGTTGAAGCCAAGCCCGAAATTTGTTAATGTAAAAGAAAGGGTTTCAGTCCCTGGTTCTGCAGGCCCTTGTGTCTGTTGGCATGCAAGCCTTTGTGGCTTTTATTGCATTTGCATTTACATTGTGCTTGCAAGCCTTTCTGGCTTTTCAATGGTGTCGTTCCTGAAGATTCATTTGCCAGCCATTGTGGCTTTTGGAATATATAGCTATATATATATATGTATGTAATTTGTATATATATATATATATATACATTCGAATGTATAAATATATATATATATAGAATACATACATATATATATATATATATTTCCTTTGGCAGCACAGGAGGATTTTCAGATTGGCAACCCATTCTGGTTTTTGGAGTTACATTTTTTTTCAAACTTGCCAGCCATTATGGCTTTTGTACATCGTCTATTGGCTGCAAACGGTGTTTTGAGATTTGCCAGCCATTGTGGCTTTGCTATGGTCGTTTGCAAAGAAGTTGTGCAAGTCTTGCAGGATGCATGACAAAGTTTCGTTTGTTTGTTCTTCAAGTGCCGAGGCTCCAGCTCGAAGCCTGCAATGCTGCATAAGTGCATGTTGTATATGGCATACATATATTTCATGGAAGGGTTTTTCGCATATATTTTAAATAGCTCGCTGGGCCATGGCGCCTTTTTCGGGGGCAGAGTGGAAGGAGGAGTTGCAGCACTGTGCCAAGCTGTTGAAGCTTCGTCCCAACTCAGAAGTTGGAAAAGCGGCAGCAGAGACTTTGCTTCACCGCTTGAACGCCTCGGACCCTTTGTATCCGTCGCAGCTGACAGAGCTCTACGAAGCTGTCGAAGCATCGGACCTACCACCGGAGCTCAAGAATGAGATGATGGACTCGGTAGATGCAATGCAAGGGGCAACTTCAACGTCCAGGTTGGTACCCAAGGGCACGGCTTTCGCACACTTGAGTGCTTACTTGAACGAAGAGGACTGGAAACGGTTGGAAAAGGGCAACACTTTGGATGGACAGGCCATCCTAGTGCATCGCTTGCAGAGTTTGGGAGTGCGCTCCTTGAAGGAGACGACAAAAAAGACCTGTGTTGCACTCTTGGTTCACTTGCACATGAAGAAGGGCAATCCAATGCCAGATGCTTGGACTCTTTATGGCCTTGTGAACGACATCGCCAAGTGCTTTGCCAACTACAAGCTGCAAGCCAAGATCGCGACACAGGCTTCTTACCCGTACAACCCGCAAGACCTGGGAGAGGAGAAGCTCCAAAAGGTCTACGGAAACGAGAGGCCCACCGGACAGCACATCTTCCTTGGCCCCATGATGCACAAGATTGCTTGCCGTAACACAAGTGCTTTGCTGAAGCAACTTGCTACACCCCAGCAGACTCCGTCTCAGCAGCAGCCGGCCCAGGGACCTGCCCTTCCCGTGCAGCAGGCACAGTGGCCTCAGCCCCAGGCTCAGGGCCAGGTGCCTCCTCAGTGGCCTCAGCAGGCCCAGGTGCCTCCCCAGTGGCCTCAGCAGGCACAGCTGCCTCCCCAGCCTTTGCCGCCGCCGGAGTGGGCTCAGTTTCAGCAGTTCCAGGAGTTCATGCGAAAGCATGGAAATGGAGCAGAGCTTCCCGCTGCACAGCCGGGCGCTTCAGACCAAGGCCCAGCAGCTTCGCAGGCCATGGTGCCTTTCTCGGCCGCACAGCAGCAAGCTATGCAATGGAAGCCTGCTGCACAGGTCAGCCAGCAGCCTTGTGCTGCTTCAGACCCCGCAGTGGGAGAGGTTGAGGAAGCGAAGCCTACCTTGGAGGAGCTGGAGGCCCAGGCTTTGGCGGAGCTCGAAGGCAACAAGAAGTCCAAAGCCAAGGCGAAGGCGAAGGCAAAGGGGAAGGCTGCCGGATCGCAAAGCAAGCCTCAGCCTAAGAAGGGTATCTTGAAGAAACCCGCAGCTGTGGAAAGCCTGCAGTCCTATGCTGGCAGATTGGCCGCTTACAACAAGGCTACTGGTGAGAAGCGGAAATGCTTCGGATGTGGTAAGTGCCGTGGCGGGCCGGCAGGCTGTGCCCAGTGTTGGAACCCGCTGTTCCAGGGCATGCGATTCGAGGGCAGGGCCGAGTACGACAAGTGGGCGGCAAAGAAGACTGGCGCTAAGAAGTAGGCCAGTCCACTGTGCAGTGCTTTTGGGCAGATGCATCTTTCATTCTGCATATAGGGTTATCCGCGGGAGCATGTGCTTGAACATATGCAGGCCCGTGATGATTGTTTTGCTCACAGGGGATTTCATGCTGGCGAAGTCTGGCATCGTGCACATGGATTGGGGCCAAGAAAATTCAGAAGCATTGCCATGTTGTTGCGAAGAGAGATGCATGTTTTGCAGCCTGCGAATGTCGCATCATGTTGCATGGCCTTCTAAGCACGTGTTGTTTGCAGTTGTTTGCTTTGAACTTGCTCGAGCCCTTTCTTGCCTGGGTGCATGTAGCCAAAGCTAGCACGATGATGCTTCAAACTGTCTAGAAGCTGTGCAGTTAAATCATCTATATATTGCTTGTTTAGTCCGGCATGGTTTAGCACTTGTAAGTTTCAAGCACTGACAGATGCTTCCAAGTGTCTGGCCGCTTTCCACAAAAATAATCTATGTAAGTATTGGTTTTTTCTTGCTTCAAGCCTGCATGGCGGAAAAGAAAAGCTTGGAAAGGGCTGCGAAGCTGCAAAGCTTCAAGACTTCAGACAGTCCGTTCCGCAGTGTAGCAAAGCTGCTTTGGATGCCATCCTATCCCGTGTGGAACAAGATGGTGTTCCTGAGCTGCACAGCGACAAACAGATGAGAGAGGCTGATTGGCGAAAGCTTAGCACAGCTTCCGAATATGGGCCATTGTTTTTGGAAAAAGACATCGTGCTCAATGATGGGAAGTTTGCCAAGATTAAGATAGTGAACTACCTTTCTTTGCTGGCTGCTTGCTACAAAGAGCATGGCATTTTCCATGGCCTGGTACGACAAGCTGTGCTGAAACGTGAAAGCACTGTCCATGCTCCGTGGCAGTTGCTGGTGTATTCTGATGAATGCTGGCCTGGCAACCCTTTGTCAGCGAAGGCAGAGAAGAAGATATGGACTGTCTACATCAACATCAAGCAGCTTGGTCCAAGGGCCTGGGCTATGGAGGACATGTGGCTCCCCGTCTTGGTGCGCAGGAGTGTGTTTGTGAGCAAGGTTGCAGGGCACATGGGCCAACTGCTGAAAGAGGTGCTCCTTAGCATCTTCGACAATCCGTTTTGCAAGCCCAGAGATCTTGGCTGCAAACTTTCTGCTGGCGAAGCAGATTCTGTCCGGATCTAAGTGGAGGTTGGAGCGCTCATCCAAGACGGGCAAGCTCAGAAGTATGCCTACGGCATCAAAGGGGACAGTGGCCTGGTGTATTGCATGCCCCTTGGCATTCTATTTTCTTGCAAGCGATGCTTTGCTTTCCATGCAAGTACTTCGTCAGGTTTTTTCTTGGTTGCAAGAGTGTTTAGCCCATTTGTATTGGGCTTTGCCGTGCCAGCAGGAAGTGTCGGCCAACAGTGGCAGAGCCCACGTCCAAACAAGAACTACGACTTCACAGCGATGCCGATGTTTGGGCATCTTTCGACAGAATGGCATCACGGGCGACTCTGCCCACTAAGGACTTCGAAGCTTGGCAGACAGCGACAGGATGGTCCTACTCTAGGTTAGGCCTTCTTGCTTGCATGGCTTTGAGAGCAGTGCTGAAGCCCGTGTCTTCTTACATGCACGACTACATGCATGGAGTGCTTCAGGGGTGCATGCCAGTTGCAATGTACGTGGTGATGGAGGCTTTGAAGGCAGCCGGCTTGAAAAGCTGGCAAGGGATGTATGACTGGTGCAGTCTTTGGTTTCTTCCGAAAGCCCACAAGTTTGCCATGCACCAGCTTTTCGAAGCGAAACGTGTCGATGCTCATCGTAAAGCAGAAAGGATCAAGGCGCCTGCATCAGAGATATTGGAATTGTATCCAATTATGAAGCAGTATGTGCTTCGCATTGGCATGAAAGCTGGGACGGCTGCCGCATCTGCTTGCCAAGCTTTTCTGAATGTTTGTCTTCTGCTGGATTCGCTGCTGGCGGCCAACACTGGAAAAGTGACGGGAGACATGCTGGACCAAGCAGCAAGCCGGGTTCTGCAAACCTTCCGTTCCGCGGGCTGCGAACAATACACCATCAAGAAGTTCCACTGGAATTTTCATTACGGTGATTCCTTGGAACAGCATTCTTGCTTGGTTAATTGTTTCGCATGCGAACGAAAGCACAAGCAGGTTGTGCGCCACGGCGAATTGATATGCAATACGAAAAGGTATGAGGATTCAGTTTACCGCGAACTGCTCTGCCGCCAATTGTACAGGCTGTCTCTACCGCTGCAGCCGGAGGTGCACCTCCTGACCCATGGCCGCTGTACACAGAAGCTGAACAGCTTCTTGCTCAGCATCTTGGGTTCTGCAAACCATGCCTTCTTCTTGATTATGTTTTTCTCGTCCTGCAAGCTTGCAACAGCTTCAAAACCTTGAACCGGTTTAGAAACCCTTTAAACCTTCAACCTTAAACCCGTACAATCTTTTGCTTGCAGAATGCATGAAGGCATGGGCTTGCTGCAGCCGCACAACACCTGCACGACTTCTTCAGCGCTGCACGTTCCGGCGGGTGTCTTGCACCGAGGCGACTTTGTTCTTGCAAAGAAGGTGGGCGATGGATGGCATCAGTGCGGTGAAGTATGGTGCATTTTCGCGATCGACCAAAAGCCGTGTGTACTCCTGGGCCTCTGCTCCATGGTCTCCCGCAGTAGCATGGAAGGCACTGCTCTCTGGAAGGAAGACAATGCACCCGTTCTGCTGCCAGCCGAAGACTTGATTTGTGCAGTGCAGTATTCCCGCAAAAGGGATGGCCTGCTGACTTTGATTCCGTGGCATCTGCGATGAGGAAAAATGGACTTCTTGCAGCAGCAATTCCTCTGCATGCAGTAGCACACGCAAGCCCCTTCTGCTAGCCACTATATATGGCTTCTGTGCTAAGCAATATATTGGCTTCTGTGCTAGCCAGCATTCTGCTTATTGGCTGCCGCTTGAAAGCCATTCTTCGGCTTCATTAATTCCATAAGTATATAGAAATTTAATTTCTGGCAATGTCAAGGTCATGCTGTTTCCGTCTTGTGTACAAGAACTGTCAAGGGCTACAGCAAAAATGCCTTGCGAATGGGCTTTCGAATGCTTTTGAAGCTGTGCCTCTTCTTGTTTTTCTCCTGCGGGAAACCAGAATTTAATTAGATGCTACAGTACAAGTTATCCAAGTTATAAGGACTTAGTAACTCACTTAGCTCCAGTTGTATATTTTTTTGAACTCTACTTAAAACCGTTAAATCATTAGCAACCACAGGGCTGATCAAAGTATAACTACACTACCAGCCACTATCACTGCCCATATTGCCCCTGCCGCACCATTAGCACTAGTACCAGTTTACCTGCCACTACAAGCAGCACAACAGCAAGATGACCACCACCACCACCACCACCACCACCACTACTCCTACTACTCCTACTACTGCTACTACTACTACTACTAGTAGCACTTCTACTTCTACTTCTACTTCTACTCCTACTCCTACTTCTACTTCTACTTCTACTTCTACTTCTACTTCTACTTCTACTTTTACTTCTACTAGTACTAGTACTAGTACTACTACTACTACTACTACTACTAGTACTAGTACTAGTACTACTA